ATATACTCGTACAATATGTATAGATAAGTAGAAGTTGTGAAGTAAAGAACAGGACATGCGAGGCCAGTATCGATCGCAGGTGGCTTGTTTCAAATTCAATTCGCAGAGTGGAAATAACAATAAAACTTGGGCGTTGTGCTATATCTCCGGTAGCACCTGCACCCGATACGTGTACTGAAAACTAAGGCTTGTCTAATGATTTCAATGTTAATTATTACTTAAAATAATCTCAGTACAGAGTACTAAAAAAACCGACATTAAAAATTTCGTAAAATTACATCTATTTGCCAAGTTTTACTGAAATCGGTTACCGGAAAGCGTGGAACTGGATTCATTCCCTAGTTTGTCACCTTTAGAGGTGGAATATATTTCTTCAAATTTAAATCGGACCAATACTGAAGTATCCCCTTTCCAACAAAAAAAACAATCATCAAAGTCAGTGTTATGGACGTTTTTTTCCTCCTTTTTGAAATCGGTTAAAAAATAGCTGTTCAACTTGTTACACCTTCACAATGCAGACAGGTAGTAAGTTACAAACACATATCACGTGATTATTTATTATTATGTATATAATACTAGAATTGGAAGGCAGAGACAAAGACCTATGAAAAATGTAGGTATGCCTCATTCTATGCCTCTCTATCGATCTGCCGAATATTCGGTGATATTATTATCGGAGTGTTTCCAAGAAGGAACAACCGCGTTCGCTATCCGTTCCGAGCGTGAGTGTCTACCTAGAAGTGTCAAAATATCTCATATGTCGACCTTTGTAAATATGAGAGGCGGTCTGTTCCTATGCTATATCTTTATTTTTTACTGCCGCCGCTCTTATCCTTGCCGTATGTGGCAAAAATATGCCTCGGGCTAAAGTCACGAATCGCAATACGGGCTTCGTGATAAATCTTCACGAATTCAACGCTTATATATTAAGTTGTGTGGTGTTTTTACGATACTTCGCTGCGGGGGTCCTAATTACAGCGGTATTTCGCCTGAACGTGATGAAAAAACTTTTCTCGGAGATGTCTTCCTGCAACATTAATTACGAGAAAAGTTCCCCGCCCGATCTGCACCTTTACATTTCTTCCAGAACTTTTTGTCCTGCGCTACTTTGCCACAGAGCGTTTTTACGATTATTTTTAATAAAATAATGAAAAGGGCCGAGAGAGCGACGGAGCTCAAACTCGTAGCTGTGATAAGAAATATATCGTGTAATATAAGCAGTAAAAAGACTGAAGACGTCACGTAGCAAAACAGGTCTGAGTTTTATGTCGGCAATTCGGAGCGTGCACAAAAGAAATGCTAACGTCGCGCGAACGTGCTTCCCGCTACCCCGGCCGAGCCCTGATGTTACAACTATCCATGCCATTTATATTGAGGTTAAATGGATACAGAGTTGGTCATATTTCCCTCAATGAAGTTAACCTAAGCACGACCTTATGACACGAGGCTTATGATTCAATGTTCTTTACATATATTTTTTTTATTCAATCGTACATTAGTTACCAATTCGATGTAGTTTATTTCCACTCTACAAGTGACATTTTCCACTGAAATTGTTAGTGAATGTTTTGGAAAAGAAGTTTATTCATTAAACTTTTTCATACGCCCGCAAGCACCCCACAGAGTTCAGTATTACCAATAACTGCAGAGGGCGTTTCTTGAGCAGTTAATTTATGTTACTATAACTCAGTCAGACAGCTGCTCAATAGGTAATTTAGACGTTCCTGGCAACATTGTCGTAATGAGTTCGAGCAGTTTTAGCTAAGTTTATTGGTATGCTGAGCGATACCTCCAAGTGGGTGGCGATGACGGAGGTAGGCCCCCTATACTTTCCAATCCACACAATGTTACATGTCAGCTCTAGTTTAGCGGAGTTAGTTATCAATATGAAAAAAATATATATTGCTAGGTACATTTTTAGAGGAATGTCTTGTAACTAGATTCAAATGTAATCAAAATTTTATATCTCTACACCTTTGTATTATTTACAGTTAAGTAAAACATCTAAAGGGCGGGTCTCAACGTTGATTATTTGCGTCTTATGCGTATAAAGTTAGAGATCATACGTTAAACTTTATTTTCTTAACAAAGGGGACGTAATTTGAATGTGCCTTAAAGTTTTATACGGCTGTTATAGCTTTAAAAGCTGGATGCTCTGGCTTAAACGAAAAAGCTCATAATATACACAAGATATGGCTTAACGTGGCAGTTTGTTATGAAGTTTATAGTGGAGCTAACATGGGCTCTAGTTACAAGATTACTGAGAACAAAAAAGTATACGTCGGCGACCTTAGGAGATCCAATCGCTTGGACTTGTTTCGGATGAGAAGAAAGAATTATGAACGAAAACAGATATGAAGAGTAATTGGATATATACATATTTCATCGTTTATAGTGGGGTACAGTTAAGAAAAATGCGGCGGGAAATAAGGAACACGATGTCGGAATGTTATTAAAGATTTTTATTAAAGCTTCAGTCGTAAACTTGATCGTGCGAGTGCGTTTGACTATTTGATGCTATATTAATTTGAGGTTGAAGTATTCACACGTTGGTTAATGTCTTCATTTCCTTCTTAATTCCAGTAAATAAATCAAATGACAGTAAGTCGCCAAGAAAACATAATCTTACCTTCTCAAATTTTTTAGCATTTATTATATCTGTAAATGACACTCCGTATTTTATTGGTCAACAATACCTTCTTCTTCTTTTTGCTTAATGGCGCTACCCTTTAGATTTCGCCAGTATCGAGTTTTCCGCTCAACAATACCTTAGAACACTCTAAAAAATCACTGACTTCTTCGTTAATCATAGACAGAACCACTTTTTTATCTGAAATCCTAAGAGTTGATCTCTTTTCGACTAATAATTGTATTAGTGAAAGGAGATTAACCTTTAAAATTATTATTATTGTTAATATCGACTCATGGACGTTAAGTAACAATTTGACGATAACAAATTATTTATATTAATTACAAATTACTACATAAAACCTGAAGTTATGAATCGAACAATGTAAATGATTTTTTTCTATCTAAATTGTGAGTTGAGTCCATTCGTGATAAAGAGGACAACTTGTCAGCATATATCAGCACTGTGGCTATACTAAACGTGTGTTTAGGGGATATCATATTTTTATCATCAACAGTGTAAAATATTATCACGGGAAAATCGTTTCAATCCATATCTTGAGGTAATCTTTTTTTTATTCTTGTTTCTTTTTCCATACAGCACCCGACTTATCCTATTTTAAAACTTCTAAGTATAGTTTTCGGTCATCCGCGGCACGGTGCGGGGTGTGCGGGGGTGCAGGTGCGCTCGTAAAGTGTACGTTTTATGGAAATATAAGATCCTTGTCGGGCGTATAGTACACAGCATGGTTCTTGCCCTCGCCTCCCAAGAATGTAATCTCGTGTACCTCACATGGCTCCACGGCGAGCTATCTCACATGCATATTTAATAACGCCTCGTCGCGCATCTTATGTAGATACGATCTGTGTTTTTAGAGTGGATATAAACTTATGTACTTATCGCAACCCTCGTGGAAGAAACGTATAACTTTTTTTACTAGTTTTCAGGGCGGCTAAAAATAGGTACTAATCGAACATAGCGTTTTTGTTAAATCTGCAAAGTAATCTATGTGACTTACCTTGAAGTGTAACCGAAAACATTCCCTTCCCGCCCAATTTGTTTCATTTCAATGACAGATGTCTCTCTACAAAAAACATACGTCTTTATTCCACGAATAAAAATTAAACACTAAAGGGTTTAAGTAAACAAATCCCTTTATTGATTAAGATTTTAAGGTTTGTTTGCTTTATGACGTTGGTTACTGCATTTTTTATTGATATTTATAAATTTATTTTTCACCTATTTAAAGATACGCCTTTCTTCTTTGAGCGTTTGACTACCTATGTAATTAAGGACCTGTTTTACTTATGTCTTATTTTCTATTAAAAAATATACGAATGCAAGATTTATCTTTTGTAACACGTTTGAAGAGAAAATTTGAGATTTTGGTTGGGGAATATATTTAGAAAATATATAAATATAAATTTAGAAATATATTTTTTATAAATAAAATTTAAGTATTTTTGGTCTATGAATCAATCGTATTATCCATAGAGTTACACGAAACGTTACACGAATTGGAGAGAACGTGTTTAACTATTTGATAGAGTAAAAATTACGTAATTCCACATAAATGCTATTCTTCCCCTGGGGGTGCGTTACGAGGAATATGAGTAGGTATGTGTGTAGTAAGTAGCTATGTAGTTGATTAATAATTTTAAATTAATTTAGATATATGTTTGTGAATGATCTATGCGTTTCTAATTCAAATCTTTAGTTTAACTTCAAGTAAAACAGTAAATATACAGTGGCCACGTATGGTTTAGAAATTTACATAGAAACAGGGCCTATCTGCCTTGCCATCAACAGACGGCAGACTTATTTCCAAACAACAGAAACCTATATCCAAACAAATGAAACCTATATTCGAAGCTATCAAATTTGATAGCGATCGAATAGGCACGACTCTAGTCGAAATAGCCGGGTTTACTTCCGAATTCTCGACTGCGAACGAATGGAATCGATACTCGATGCCAATAAAACTGCGTCGATTCGCGAATACATAAAACGTTGGATTCAAGTCTTGCGCTTACTACATAAAGCTAGAGAAGGGTTCCCACTTTTATTGCAAGGAATTTGCATATAAAGTAACCATTGAAGAAAAGCGATCTCCGTTCGGTGTTTTTTCGTATTCATTGTTACGAAGGCCGCGGGCGCACATTCCGTTTTATGGATCATGATGCTCCTCTAGCGTTTATATAAATAATATCAACAGTTTTTTCAACTGGTGATTTATTTGAGAAAGTATTAAATGCTTTTATGTTTTGATATTAGACGTCTAATTATATTTATGGGGGTCGTAAACTCTCTGAATTAACACTTCTGTGTCTCCATTGTTAAAAACATAATTTGTTTTATATCTTTTTTTCAGATACATGGCGCGTTGGCTGACGGGGTTGTAATGGATTAAAGTATTGGTTGGTAATTATTTAGTTCAAAACGTTTTTAAAATATCGTGTTGTTTGAGTCAATAGTGTAAAAGATTTCATAGCATACCGTGGTGAATAAAAAACAGAATTAAATTCAGTGTCGGCGCGGCATTCCCGTCGATTCCCAATAAAAATGATATTTAATTGAACTCGATAACGTGTCCTGCCGAGAAGCTCAATAAACTGTCTTTATTATCACCACACATAAATGTATCTACATAATAAGAGCCACGATCGTATCCAGTAAATGTCTGGGATTTAGTTAAGGTAGGAATATACCTTCTGCCATTTAATACCATTTAAACAGAATTACAACTACACTAAACGCTGAATTATATTACAGTTTGAGCTCATTTGCGATTTTCTTAAACTGAACCTGCCCTGAAACGTAGGCTTTTTTAATACCTCGGTATTTTTACTTTTAAATTATTTATTAAAATTGCAAGACTTGCCTAGTTCACACCTGATCGATGTCAACCGGTGTATAAATTTTACTTAAAAGGTTTATGACTTTGATAGCAAGATTCCGCCTCCATACACAAGTGTTGCTAAGTTTAAGTAAGTTTTCACTTTGTATGCACTTAGTAGCGACAAAGTTGCCTATGCATTTCGCCGGCGTTGCGAGATAAAGGACGTTGAGTCACAATGGCGTTTAAGTGATAGTTATGGCAGTTTTTATAGGCAGTTAGATTTATTTTTACAGCACTGTTTGTTTTAATGCGTTATTCGCGAGTAGAGAGGTCGCGATTCCTTGTTCATTCGTGTAATCACGCTAATCGTTAACACCTAGGTTATTGCTCCGATTACAGTTTTATTTTATAGGTTTTGAATCGGTTCATGGTAAATCATGTTTATAGTGAGTGTATATTTTGTGCTAAGAAATATTATTTTCTTGGCAGTTAGTGCAAAAAAGTAAACGTATTAGGGTAAAACAGGAATAAATGCCCCACTTTTGAAAGGGCTTCCAAATTTCAAAATTTTTGGTTTACCATGAACTATTCCTATGGATATAACTAGTTTAATTTTTTACATTACATTAATTCTTGATTTTATTCATCAAACTTTTACTGATTTTGAAAAATCGAGGCGTCTATCCTATTCGATATGGATAGATGTCCTTTTATTATATAACTAAGCTATATACAAAGGAGCGATTATTGACACCTAGATGCGCAGTTAATGAACCAGTGTATAGTTATAATAAAAATAAAACGAAATTTATTATAACTTACAAAATTAGACGACAGTAAATACTTGCGTCTAAAATTTTGAACCGTTTATCGTGTTCGTCGCGGAGATAAACGCATGCACAGGCCAAACGCTTCAATTCCACACGAAACCCTGCAGGAACTTGATGAGTGGTGTCTATACTTCTTATTTAAACTAATTATTCTTTGTTGCGATTTGGAGAAGTTAGGTTTTTTGAAATCGAGGCACTTATCCCACTGCGACATCTATACCGGTTTTACCCTATCTGCAGTTCGATTTGTTTCCAAAATAAATAACGATATTTTTTAGAAATAATAGCTAGGTATATTATACACATGTAGTTATGACGGGTTTGAAAGAAGGAAGGTAGGTCACAGTCCCTTAATCAGGAAATATAGGGCAATAAAACGCGTAGCCAGACTTAATCAAATTGTCGAAATGACCGATGGACGACTGGGTATACCTACCTGCGTTATAGGGTCACTATTAGATTACGCTACCGACGTATGCCTGACAAAATGTAATTAACTATTTTCAGCGTGAGAACTTGAAGGTTTCTAATGACTGAGAACGCACAAATACATACAGTACCTACATATTATGAAATCCACATATAAGTATCGTTTCTAACATTTGTAGATTTTTTTCCATCGGCAAGATTTGTTATCTTTCCACAAAATCGCTACCCAATCGTAGTCCTTTTTAAACGTATGCATTCTGGCTTTTTCAGGTCATCATACATCTTTCGAAATGCGGTAGCTTCACAATCCACATATAAAATATTGTCACAAAAAGCTGTTGTTATAAATATAAATCTGTCAAAAAATAGCCACGTATCTATTTGGGGCCGTTATCTCAAAACAAAGATCTCATCAAAAATTCAGCATGCGACACTCGGGATGTGTCCAATAAATCAGTTTTACAGCATTCCCGTGTCATTTCAGTCGTCGAGCGGCATAAAATGATAATTTTACTGCGCTCCCTTCCGTCTCTGACTTTACGACAATTGTGAAATGTATCGACAGTTCGGGTGTCACCTCGAAGGTGGACTTACCCTATAAAACGTATTGATACTCACCCTCGGTTTTCATTTCTCAATATCTTAAGGTTCAAATTCGCTTAAAACCTGAATTTCCTACGGCAAACGAAAAGGTAAGCGTTCAACATATGGTTCAGTCTCTGTATTCCCGTGTTCCCCTTCGATATTTTAGGAAAGGTGCTACTGAAAAGACATCAATCTTTCAGGTGACTTTACTGTTAAACTTAATGGATTATGGTGATGTGGCTTCAATATTAATTTAAAAAGTTATATTTTCATCCAGGTACTACTATCTTTTATTGTACTTTTTAATTTGTTTTGAAAGTCAAGGAAGTCTCGTAGATGAATCTCGTGCAAACAAATTGTACTTAAATAATCTCAGTACAGAGTACTAAAAAACCGACCTCAAAAGTCATTGGTGGATTTTTTTCTTCAAATTTAAATAGGAACATTTCTAATTCTCTTTCCAACAAAAGAAGAATCACCAAAATCGGTTCACAAATACTGGAGATATCGCGTAACATAATATGAAGGCGGTTAAAAAAAATGAATTTCCTTCAATATTGTATCAACATAATGCGCTAACAAACCGTGAAATTTCGCTTCCTAGATCGTCTTTTAAGAGTAAACATTACAAATCGCAAACAAAACAAGGCATTTCACTATCCCGTTTATTTGTTATGCGATAAAATTACCATTTTACACCATGCTTACAAATGGACAATTATCACCTTTTAAATTATGCTAATTCACTTAACAAGTATTACTCACAAATTAACAATAATTAGAAATTTCCGTATTTTAACAATGATGCCTATTTACGCTTTTAAATGATTTTGTGTAGGTATATTATTATTTAAATTTATGGATGTTTAATTACTATTCTGAATAGTAAACTTGTGGATTTACGGTTACATATCAGTTACAATTAGGATTTTTATTTGAAATAACGGTTATAATACAGTGTTAAAATGCACTGAAAAACATTTACTGTATTCAAGTGAACTGATCAAGATCCTTGATGAAACCAATCACAGTATGTTAAAATAAATTATATAAAATGGTTACTGCAATCATTGATAGACTCAGAACATTACAAGGAAACAAGATATACGATTACCTGAACAACATCTTTGTAAATGACATGGTTTGTTTCAGTGTTGTTTCAGTGATATTTGAAATTGCTATATTTGCTCGATAATCTTCTAAGAATCAATTGGAAAATCAAAGTCTTTAATATTAAAAATGCAATACATTTAACTTAATATTAGATACTCTTCCCTGCCGGAAGCATCTCTTGTAAAGAACATTGTTATATAAACAATTGAGTTACTCAATGTACCCTAAACTTATATAGATTGATTTGCAATGCAAAGCAAATAAACCTAATATTCGATAACGGAAGAAACATTACATTGCTCATCATCACTATTGCCATTTTTGATATTAGCGGTACACTCCCATCAAATGCTTAAGATAAAGCCGTAACAAATTATTATTCAACATGAAGCCTTTGCAACATGTAACCTTTGGGGCTACGGGCGAATCTCTTCGCTCAAGAGCTTTGTTGTTATTTTTTTTTAAGCTTTCAGTGATCAGGAGGCTCTAGCTAATTTGTCAGTCTCGTTTCAGAGAGGGGAGAGGAGACGGTGCCCCAGGCGGCAGTAGAGCCTTTTGTGAAAGAGTTCGCCCAGTGAAGTACATATTATCTGTTTTTGGCCTCAAGCAGTATTATGAGCATTACTGCGTTCCGATTTTGAAGGGTAAGAGTGCTGGTGAAGTAACAAGCACGTAGGGTGTCGGGCGCAGTGGCAGTGCTCCTCACATGATTGTGGTTTAAAGTCGATGCAACCTCAAATGGCATTGGTTTTTTTATGTAAAGAAGGAGGCAAACGAGCCGACGAGCTACTTGATGGGAGGTGATCATCGTCGCCCATGGACATTTGCAACATCAGATGAGCTGCCTGTGCGTTGCCAGAATTTGAGAGCCCTGTAAACACTCTTTTTGAAGAACCCCATGTCATAGCGCAATAGAAATACTTCAGGAAGAAGATCAACAGTGAAAGTGCGGAATCAATAACTTTGGAAACAATATATAGTAAATTTGACGATCTACACTGGTTAGTATGGTGTGAAAACACGATTCCTAAACATTTTCACGACAGAAAAAAACATAAACTTACCGCGAAATTTTAAAACCGATGTAGGTAAAAGAATATAGGTACCAATATTTTTTTTATATCAAATGAACTAAATAGAATACATATAGTATACGATATACATTTTTCAAATGGCTTTAATTTCGTTCGTAAAAAAATCTGAAATAACGACAGCGTCTCTGCCGCCCGACCCAAGCAAAACGAACCGTATTAGTATGGGAAAAAAATTGAATTCAAGCGAGGTAGTACCGACTCTTAAAGCTCTGAACTGCAACTATTATATACAGACTTGTCGCTTACTACCGGGCGCATGACTTGTTCGTCACTTGGTATTATAAAAAAATTTGAAAACCTGCGTAGTGTATCAATGTATATGTATTGAAAGACAAGCAAGTTACTATAAAACACTACATTGTATAGAGATTCAATTGTTATTTCAAGTCTCGAGAAATGAAGGAGGTACACTTTCGTCCTACCTATTCAAAAACCCGTTTAAAGGGCCATTTAGTTAGTCCACTATTAACCTATGGTAGGGCCACTAGAAAGCAGGGGTTGCGCGACGATTGCCCGTTTTATGGCCC